TTTAGGAGTCAAATGTAAGCTTTCAATTAGGTTTGCAAGAGAAAATCAAACGTTATCAGAAGAATTTATTTTAAACTTTAAAATTGTGTGAGGATAAAAACAAAAATATTATGAAAATTTATCAAAACAATAATATGAAGACAGTTAAATATTAGTGTCAGAATAACAACAACTGCCAAGGCATAAGTTACCTCGAAGGCAGATTACTTTTATTAAAAAAGTGCTAAACTTTTTGCAAGAAACAGTTATAAAATCAAACAAAAAAAGCTAAATAGATTAGGAACATTAACGAACAAATAACAAATGATCCTCAGATGGTTTAGTATGATAAAACAAATTTTAACTTTTTTCTAGAAAAACAAAAGCACGTGCCAAACAGGTAAGAAGAGCAATAATAAAAATGCATGTTTCAAAAGACGAAAACATACATTTGATTGCAGCTATATCAACAACAAATGTAGACATAATGGAAAAGTGAAAAGGATCAATTAATGCAGAATCTTGTAACGGGTAGATGTTGGTAATGTTTTTTCACTAAGTTATATTCGGGAGTCTTTTAGAGGATTTGGTCATCGTAACAAGCTATGCTCCATGTCACTCTCGTTTAGAAAGGAGGTTTAAAAATTCTCCAGCTCCGTTTTAACGTTTAGGACCCTACATTCCAGTATTAAACCCAATGGAAAAACCTGGCTTAAAATTTAAAGTAACGTTAAAAATGCATTTCATTTTTATTTCATTTTATAATTGGTGCTGCGGCAAAAAATAATAAATAATAAGAAGCGATTGTGCACGTGTTTTTATAAAATACTGCGAAGCGTTACACAACAATTTTAAATATAAAAGATGCCCATATTTAACTGTCATAACTTAACTTTTTTAAAGAGCGGCAATGTGTCGTTTAACGATGTGTCGATGCATCGTGTTTAATGGATCGAACAATTCATCGTGTTCGACATATCGAAAGCGATTAGTAGTTCGATTTATTAAAAAAAAATGTAATGGTACAATTAACGATATGCTATAAAAAGAAAAAATTTTAAATGGTGTATAATTACTTAAGTTAGTCATTTTTGATTATGTTCCCTACGACGTCTTTACCTTTTACATAGGAAAATCTTTTTCCGGTTAATAGTACATTTGACAATCTATTAATTTTAGGGTTATAAATATACTAGAAAATCTATTTACTTTTTTGGAAAAAGTAAATATATTATCTAATGTATTGATAATTTATAAATCAACAGATTAATCGTATATCGTTACATTAAATAGATCGTTTATTATATTGTAAATTGTATATTGTTGACTTAAAGGCCTTGTAAGTACGGCACATTACTATTAAGACACTTATTATTAAGAAACATACTATTAAGATATACTCTTAAGACACTTATTAATAAGGAACATATAAATATTGCTCATTTTAAATTTTTACCTCATTCAAAAAACAGAAATCACTAATTGTTTTCTACTACAATATTGTACTTACAAGCTAAAATCAAGGTAGGCTTTTTAGTTAAAATATTTTTTTTAGATGTAGCATGATTTTAGATGTATGAATTACGATGATAGATTCGTTGGTTTAATGTTTGATTGATAAATTTATAAATAGATTGTTTGATAAACAAGAAACCATTTGGGATTTACTTATACTATTTTTCTTTTTACTTCTAGATGCTATAAGTTTCTTTTATTTAGGATAATTTCACCAAGATCAATGAAAACAGAACTATCGTCATTGAATGTGGCAAAGAATAGAAGGTGCTAGTGGGAGCACAACAAGGATGATAGGCCATCTTAAGAGAAAGCACAAATCCAGCTTTGAAAGCAAGGAAGCAACTTGAGTGCTCTTCCGGTGCTGGAAAATCAAGAGCAGTCAATGTCAGAACACCAGACAGCAAAAAGTCAAGAAAAGGGCAAATGTATGGCAACGAAACACTAACAAGGCGAGTATATCCTAAAAGTCAATGGTCCTGGAATGACAATGAATAGACAGAAGTTGTTTCTGCGATGATGCAGTGGATATCAAGTTCCATGCTGTTTTTTGATGTAGTTGATAATCATGACTTTAAATACTGTGTGAAAATATGTACAAAAGGAAAAACGATCTTATTTCCTTTATTTTTAAATCGAACCCAAATTATTCAATAGTCTTATCTACGTCAATTCATCGATTTGAGAATGCAAAAGCTCAACTTTTCAAAACACGTTGAAACGATAAATTAAAACTGAGTAATTTTAATATTATTGATAACTCAAATTTGTTAAATAAACACCTGGGGCGCCGTAGTCTCTACCTTATTACGCAAGGATCTGGTATATTAGCCACAAAATTTATTGTATATCTGAATAATAGTCTAACTGATAATACTCTTTTTAATATATATTAGAATAGTTTATTTGATAGAAATCCCATGTGGTTTTAGATTACCAAACTTAACTAGCAAGTATTAAGGAAGATCTTAGTCTAAATTCTAATTTGGATAAATTAAGGGCTAAATATCCAAAAAATGTCAGTCTAGCGTTTATAAAAATAAATTTAATTAAAGAACCAACTTGTTTCAAATCGTTTAATAAACCTTCATGTATAGATCTCATACTCACTATTCGAAAGTTGTGCTTTCAACATTCGAATACCTTTTGTACGGGTGTTAGTGATCACCATCAATTAATACACACAATACTTAGATCTACGTTTTGTAAGTTACCACCTAAAAAAAATAATGTATAAATTGTTTAAAAGTGAAAACTTTGCAACAACACTCCGTAAAAACTTAAAGTCTTGTTGCGATATAGATACTTTTAATGAAATATTTAGCAAAATTTTAAATTTGTAGCCCCTCCTAAGTCTAAAATACTTAGAAGTAATAACAAACCTTTAATAAATAAAGACTTACGAAATGCAATTATGCTTCGCTCTAAATTATATAAAAAATTCTTAAGTGATAAAACTGATAGTTCGGCGCTAAAGTACTTAAAACAATGAAATAGGGTAGTAAAATTAAACTGTAAACTTAAGGAAATTAATTTTGGTCAAATCACACCTGATGATATTCAAAAATTATACGATCTATGAAAAATTTTGAAAATGACTAGTTGTGATATACCAATTTTTATGTTAAAATCTTATATTGTTCACTTTAGGGATTATCTTACAGTTTGCATAAATAGTAATATCCATAATGGTAAATTCCCGTCATTTTTAAAAATAACTGATTTATACCATGTTTTAAGGAGAATAATCCTTCTGATAAGTCAAATTACCGTCCAATTGCTAAATTAGACGCATATGGTTTTTGAAAGAAAGTCTTAATCTCTTGCATCTTATATTTGTGGTCGTAAACAAAGGGTAAAAATAGGTTCTTCTGCCACAAGTTGGGTAGATATGTTATTTGAAGTGCCTCAAGGGTCAATTCTTGGACTTATTTTGTTCAATATCTTTATAGATAATTTATTTTTATTTACTAAAGATACGGAACTTTGTAATTTTGTTGATGTTAACACTATCTATGCTTGTGATTATAGCCTGGTTATTTTCCGTTTGTAAAAATAAGTAACCACAACCATCAATTGGTTTGTGGTTCAACAACCCGATGGTTGCTAACCCAGATAAAATCCAATTTCTTTTAGTTGGTTTAAAAAATACATAAAGTTCTTCGCTAAAAATAAAAGTAATTAATATAACTACTTAAAATATAAAAATTGATTAAGATCTAAAGTTTGGGAATCACATTAAACAGTTATACAGTGAAGCTAACGGTAAATGTTTTGCTAATTTTACGCATCATAAATTTTTTATCCCGTGATAAATCTATTTTGCTGTTTAATGCTTTTATTTTGTCTAACTTCTCTTATTGTCCTCTAATTTAGATGTTTTGTTCAAAAAAAGATAGCAAACAAATAAAAAAAAGTTCAAGAAAAAGCTCGAAGTATAGTCTATAAATGGTTTGATTTGTCTCTAGATGAATTATTTGATTTTGATAAAAGTCAAAATCTAATAATTATCTGGAAATTATCTAAGGAATATGAGATTTCTTATGATGAAAACTTTTAAATCTATTATTTGTGTAAACGTTAATAAAGAACTATTTTACTTAATCTTTTTATAATTAATTTATTAATCTTTTGTATAGACTCTTTTAAAGCAAAAAATTTATTCTACCTCAATATTATATAGAACCATATTGCTCCGAAACTTGAAGTGAAAATCTTGAAGTGTTCAAAAAACATATCAAGAATTGGTATGGCATTAATAACGTTTGCAAAGTTAGTCGTTTTTAAAATTTTGTTTCGTTTTTACATAACCGATATCTTTAGCTAAGTTTGCAATATTATAAATATATATATTTTTAATTTGAAGCAATTGTAAATTTTCATGACATTTTTTTTTTTTTTTGTTATTTCATGAAATAACAAAACATTGTAGCTTTTATTTTTTATGACATTTATGCGTTAGCGTACTGTCTATAAAGTTAAATGTTTTGATTGAAATTAGTTTTAGTGTTAACTAAAACTTTCTTGTAAAAATCAATTTGAAATAAAGTTTTTAAATTAAATTAAAAGGACTTTATAACCCGATATTTTTAAGGACAGTTTCACGTAGCAAAATACCGAATATTTACAAGGAAATAAAAGCAGCAGTTAATAAAACATTTAATGAAGACTAATCTTATTTGGATCAAATATCATTCACGTCTTATCTGTAGACTAACAAGACCACCAACGCATTGCTATGATAGCGCAATATATTGATTCGGATTTTTGAATGAAGCAGTTTTTGGTCACCTTGCAACACTTTGCTGGCAAGCATTCATCAGAAAAAATTGCAAAAAATTAAATGGATTCACTAAAGACCTAAACTTAAGACAAAAGCTAGTCAACAAAACACCATATAAAGAGTATTTTAAACAATTAAGGACAATGATTGAACTATTGAAAAAGTTTGCTGAACTATCCAACCTTGCAAGTTCAGAGAACGAAGTTTCAGTAGTCCATATCATTTCGAAACTCTTTGATCTGGAAAATAAATTGCATATGCAAACATGGTGGATCTACATTACAAAGGATCAAAATTGCATGGTATTGGCAAAAGTAGAACATAACCGAGATATCTTTGAATGTGTTAAATTTGTACAAGGCCAAACTTAGCAATATCACATCACCCAATACATAACAATCTCTCAGTGATGATGCAGAAGATACAATGACACAGAAACCCACACAGCGAAAAAACAACAGTTAGATACGTAAGAAGGTCGTTTAAAGATCCAAACTTTTGGAAAAATGGTTAATAAACCGGAAAGAAGCTCCTCTTTGAAAGAGAAGATTAAGACAGAGTTATAAAGCTAATTGACAACAACGCCAATTGCCAATAATGAGGATATACATCTTTACTGTAAGAACCGTTCTTTTAAGTATCCAAAACTTGGCCACTTTGCCAGGAGAACATCGGCAATAGCAGCTTTCTCCAGCTCCAAACGAGTGTTTCGCAAAGCTGGAAATATCTGAGGTGAAAGGAGAACAAATCTGCCTGCGTCTGCAAACTTGTTTATGTCAAGCAAAACTTGAGACAAATGAAGAAAATGAATGATGTGAACATATTTGTAGTTTGACTAATTTCCCGAAAATATTTTCTTTTTAGTTTTTGTAAAATTTTTTCCCCATGTTTGTAGATGGTAAATAAGAAATAACAATAACTAAATAAAATTTATTTTTAAATCTTGCTGTTTTATATTTTGTTTTTATTCTTTCAATGATTGTTTAACAATCTAGTCTTTCAATGTATCGTTTAACGATGAATTGTTCGATCCATTATGTTCGATGCATCGAACACGATCAATCGTGAACGATGCTTCAAACAGGTTTGTGAACGGTGCATTGTTTGATACATCGCACACAATGAAACATCCTATGCATTGTGTTTGATGCATCGATAAATTTAGCGATGCCAAACGATACATCACCGTTCCCTAAATATTACAACTATTTGGTAATGATTTCATAATAATGAGGTGTTTAAATGAATATTACAATGAATTTTAATGACATTTTTAAAATTCAAATTGAATCTTTTTATTTTTTTTGTTTATCAATTATTTCTGCTTTATTTATTATTCATCTGATTTTTAAAATGAATTGTTTACAAACTAAAAAAAACGATAGTTCTAACTGAACCTTTTTCCAGTTTCTCAATAAAAACTTTCGTTTTCTCAATTATATCTAACTTTTCTTAATTACAACTTCAAGTTTTCAGTTAGACCTTGATAAGGTGTCCCAGCAAACATGTAAGCGTTGAATCAACGTTGAAAACCAGTCGCAGCGTAGAAAAAGCGTTACAGTCACAAAAACAACGTGCTTTCAACGTTGAATCAATGTCTGTTTTTGTATACTAAATCGCGATAAATTGAAACGTTGAATAAGCGTTGAAATTGTAACGTAATTTAGCCTCTCAAAATAAAACGTTTATTCAACGTGGAATCAACTTACGCAAAAAGTCACTTTAAAAATGTTTCGAAGTATATTCTTTATCAACGTTAAAAACAAACCGCTTTTTAAACGTTACATTTTCAACGTTGAATAAGCGTTTAAATTTAAACGTATCTTATCTTCTCAAAAAAATGCGTTTATTTAATGTTGAAAATAAGTACGCAAATAATCACTGTAAAAACGTCGCAAAGGTAATGGTTTATCAACGTTAGACATTAGCTGCTTTTTTAACGAATTTAAACTATTTGAAAAACAACACTTATTCAACGTTATTTCAACGTTGGTTGAAAATGTGGTAATTAAAAAACGTTGAAAAAGTGTTACTTTGCCAACGTTAATAAAACGTTGTTTTGACAATGTTGAGGAAGTGGCACATTAAAAATTATTGTCTCAATAACTAGCTATTACAAAAATAATTTGCCGTAATGGAAAGGCAAGGAAAACTTGTTAGAATGCATGCATATGGTATAAAAAATTGTTTAATAAAGTTACATTTTATAGCCTATTTTATTGCGACTAATTTAAAACTTTTAGATTTTATATCAAAATGTATATAAAGTACATAAATCTCAGGGTAAATTCGATTTATTTAGCTTATTTTTGTCAATATTTTATTTTTTTTTATCATATTTTATTTTTTTTTTTTTTCATATTTTATTTATTTTTTCATATTTTATTACTTTTATCATATTTTATTTTTTTTTAAGTTGACGAGTTTAATAAAATGCTCAACTTTTTTAAAAATTTATTTCTTAGTTAGAAATAGTACTTAGTTTTAATACGATTCACATTTATAAAATATTATCAAAATAATTAAAACATATAAGTCAGACAAAATTAAGTTTGTTAAAAGAATAAATTTTTCAATTTATTTAAAAATTATCACTTATACATACCTATATATATATATATATATATATATATATATATATATATATATATATATATATATATATATATATATATATATATATATATATATATATATATATATATATATATATATATATATAT